TGACACCCCTCCCCACAAGGGGTTCCGAGTTCCAACCAGACATTTAGGATGCAAAAAGAAAACGAAACCAGCAAGGCGTAGACTTGGAAGTGGGCAGGTCAGATTCATACCTGCAGTCAACACTATTCAGTCCAGCAAATCCACCCAGCCTCGAGGGGAGGAGCAGGGGAAGAGCAAAGCGCCGAGTCTATGAGGAGCCATTGTCACAATGTAGAGGAGTGACCTTCAGCAACAGAGAGCGCTCACTCACCTGGCTATCCCGGGCTGGTTCCCACACATGTGGGCAGCTTGCTATACCACGTGCATCCCTGCCTGACTTAGTTTCTAGTCCCGCTATTCTCTGTCATACTTGTCATACTTAAGAGCTTGTGTCCATTGTGTATGAGAATATAGTGGCATGTGTATTCTTCTGTCCACACTTTGCAGGAAAAATGTACTCAAGACAGTTACTAAAGGCAAATAATACCTCGTTGATGGCCCAGTGGAAGTAGTGCAGGCTTCAAGTCAGCAATGATACTTCTAGAAGCTTCCACAGTGACCTCCAGGCACCGTTAACTGTTATAGTCCTTAGCACTTCTATTTTTATTTTTATTTTTTAATTTTTATTTTGAGAGAGAGAAAGAGGGAGGTAGGGGGCAGGGGGGAGAGCAGAGGGAGAGAATGTTAAGCAGGCTCCATCCACACCCATCATGGAGCCCGACGTGGGGCTCACTCTCATGAACTGTGAGATCATAACGTCAGCCAAAATCCAGAGTCAGACGCTGAATCAACTGAGTCACCCAGGTGTTCCCTTAGCACTTCCAATACCACCTCCTATGCTTGTGATAATTGTTCCTAATTTGTTTTCTTAACTAGAGTGTGATGCCCCTGAAGGCAGGGAATGTGCTTTATGCATCTTTTTCTAACTCAGTGCCTGGTACTTATTATACAGTCAATAAACCTGGAAGAAATAGTCTCTTGCTTGTTTGGTGCCATGAAGAAGCTGTGGACCACAGATCTGGTAGGTTTAGGGATCTTCTGCCGTACGGAGCAGCAGGTCAGACTGCCAAAGAGGAGTTTTCAATTTCCCTCCCGCGGCACCCCATTATCAGGATTTAAAGGAAGCCCAGTGATTCTGGGTGCTCTTGTCTTGCCATCACTCCCCTCCACTGTAATACTTCAGCTCAATGCTTACTAACTCCCCAGGAGAGCGGATCCAAGAGGAAGGCCATGGTTAGACCAGAGCCCCCCTTCCCCTGAGTGAGCTTAGGAACCAGCCCACCTCCCTGGACAGCTCAGCCACCACCAGAAATCCCAACCCCCCAGTCCCCCATCATCACCTGAGCTTAGTCCAACATCTGACTCTATAGGACTCCTAATCTGTTCCAGTTCATGTCCCTGCACGAACACACGTCTTTACTGTGGTTCCTACGTACAGTCATCGGCAACATTACCCATAACCCTCAGCCTCTTAGCTGTTGGAGAGTAACGCGCAACCTTCTCGACTGGTCTTACTTTCAACTTGTGACTGGCTATAAATCTCAAATATGTCCTCAGGACTTCCTGGTGACTCTACTAAATTTCCATAATCTATTTACTCTCTTGCCTCACAGGTGAATATTGCACATCTTCTTTTGCTCCTCAAACCAACAATCATTTCTTATTCCTTTCTCGCTCGTAGCTGATGATCTTGCTTCTTATTTTGTCGAGGGCATAAACATACACCAAAGAGGGGATTACCTTTCCCCCTCCGTATGTGCTTGCCTCTGTGCTTACAGACCCCGGCTTCACCCTCACTTCCCGACCCTCACTTGGGCACTGAACCCCACCTCCTCCCTTGCCTATACCATAATTCCATCACAATGGTATCCTATCTCCCACCTTTGGGAATTCTCTCTAGATCCTTCCAGCTATACTCTATTTCTCTGCGCCACTGTCTAGGAAAACCTTTCCCAGGAGTTGTGTCTTTTCACTGCTCCCACTTCTCCATCTCTCATTCTCTCTAGAAAGCACACAGGCAGGCTTTTCTCTCCATCACTCCACTGAGACTATTATTCTCAGAGGACCTCATCATATCACCAAGGACCTCCACATGGCCAAGTCCAATGTGGAGTCCCAGCCCTCCTCTGCCTTGGCCGAGCAGTCGCCCGTGACACAGCTGAATGTTCTTGTGAGGCAAGAGAGTAAATAGATTATGAATACTCTTGCCTTCTTGAAACATTTCCATTTGGCTTTGGGATCAACACGGTCTCTTGGTTTTCCTCCCTCTTCCCTGCCACTCTCTTCCAACTTCTTCTGCTAATTGGTTCTCCTCTCTCTGGCCCTCAAGTACAGGAATGCCCCAAGACTCAGTCCTTACCTCTCTCTTCTCTGTATTATGTTCTCCTTTGTAGACCCTTTCACTTCCATGGCTTTAAATATATGGATGTGTTCCCGGTGTATATGGTAGCCCAGCTCCAAATTCATGTATCTAACTGCCACTTGGCATTTCTACTTAGATGTCAAATAGATATGTGACTATATGGCATGGCTACATGGCTACACAAAATAAACACTTATACTTCACGCCCCTGCCGGCCCCTTACAATCCAGTCATTCTCTGGTTTTCCTAGAGTAAAATGCGCTGTTTACCCTGGTGCTTAGGCCCCAGACCCGGGAGTTATCTTTAATTCCTCTCTTTTTTCTCATACCCTATGTCCAACCTTGTCAGCTCCACATTTGGAATCAGTACCGATGTGATCACTTCCCACCACCTCCACCTGTTTCACCCAAGTGCAAGACATCTCGGTCTTTCCACCCTTGGCTTCTCTAACGGCCTCCCAACCGGGGTCCCTGCTTCCACAGTCGTCCCCCCAAACAGCCCGCTCTCCAACCAGAAACCCAAGTGATCCTTTAAAAATATAAAACCAGCCACATCCCTGCTAAAACCTGTCCAATCGGATGGCTTCCCATCACAATTAGGATAATAGGCAAATTCTACTTGGGCCTAAAAGGCCCACATGACCTTGTCTATTTCCACAACCTGTTTCTGGACTTGTCTGCCCACTCACTCTCTGTGGTTCAGCCAGGTGGTGGTCGTTGCTTTGCCTTGAACGGGTCAGGCTCTCTCCCATCTCTGGACTCGCCGTTCCTCTGCCCGAAAGGTCCTTCCAGACTTTGTAAGGTTTGCTCCTCACTGCAGTTAGGTCTCTGCTTAAATAGCACCTCTTCAGAGAGGACTCGTCTGACCACCCACCCCGTTGTCCTACAAATCTCGATCCTCTGATCCTGCTTAGTTTTTTACAGTGTTTAGCAACCTGTGACTTCTTAATACATATTTATTTGTCTATCTCCCCCAGAAGAATGCAAACATTTTACTGGCAAGGAGTCTGCTGCCTTGCTCAAACTATGTCTAGAACAAGTGCTCGGTGTACACTTGATAAGTACATGGATGCATGAAAAAATACGCAAACTTCAGAAGGAGGTAAGAGATGGGATGCAGAAAGATAGGGAAGCAGGGGCTCAGGCAGAGTGCTACTGAAATAAATTCAAAGCTGTGATGTACTTCTAGGAGCAGAGTCAGCAACAATGATGGGTCGGCACAATGGAAAGTCAGCTAGTGAACTCAGGAGGGCCTCTCAAGCAGCCCTGTCGGATAGAAATTTCTGCAGCGATGAAAATGTTCTATATCTTTGCGGTTCCCAAACAGTAGCCACTGGCCAGATGTGGCTACTGAGCGCTTGAACTTTGGCTAGTGAGATTGAGGAACTGAATATTAATTTTCTTTAACTTGCATTAAATAGCCACATGTGACCGGTGGCTATGGTACTAGAGAAGCTCCAGAACCTTCCCCACACTTGTGATTTCAGAATAATAATGCGAACCTCACTGAGTTGTTGAGGGGATGCATGAAATAAAAAGCCTGGACAAATGAAACCAAGTTGGTCCCCAAAACTAATAGCTGTTATTACACGGAGTTGCAAAGTAAAGTACTTTAAATACATGCTACTTAAATTTGGCTCCAAGGTGCCAGAAACAAACTTGTATTAACTTTTACCATATTTTTTTTTGTTTGTTACAGTTAGTGGATAACCAATGTGCGGGTCTATACTTGAGCTCCCAAACTAAAAATAGCCAACAACCATTTTGGGATCTCACGAAGGCCTTTCGGGGATAGATGACTATTCCAAGTGGATCAGCTTGCTGATACTTACGATGAGCTAATTAGTTTTGACAACAGCTAATTTAGCATTTGCAAAAATTGGATTTGTAACATTACTGCATTATTTTCAAACAGTGTCATCTGCAGCTTCCAGAACGCTCTTGGATAAGAGGACTGTTTGTTTTGCTACTTACTATTAAAATACAGGGGAAAGTATTTACTTATAGGAAACATGATGTTGAATTCTTTAAAGCTTAAATTCTTTTGGACATAAAATCATCTTTTTTTCCTTGTCAGGGGCTCACCACACTTTCTTCCATACCGAATCCAGAAAATAAAATTAACACAGATATAGAACTAAGCAGACCATTATGACTAACCCTTAGGAATAATCTAATCTAATAATAAAATTACACATTTGTTCAGAATAAGTACAGTGCTTATTTTTAGGCCAAGAGAATTTGCAGTTCAGAGCGGCAGAGGTGAAAGTGGAATCCCACAGCCCTGCCTAAGAGTGTGGTGGAGACTCTGAGACTCCAAAGAAGAGAGGATCTGTTTAAATTAAACACATGCTTACAGGCATTAAGAAAAGCTGACGTTCTTATTAAGGAGACCAATTAATCTGCATCTGTTGGAAGCAGCTTTACAGTAGTTGAAAAGGTGCCCAAGGACATACCGTAAATGAGACTGGAGAAGAAAGGAAACTGAAATTTACTTTTCTACCGGGGAGCATTTCCTACCTGCTCCCCTCCCCACCCCCACCTCTGGCTTTGCTGTTTGAAATGCAGATCCTTTTTCTGCCACCCCTGACCTTGAGTCTAGCAGAAGGGGAAGGGGATGAGGAACCCTAAATACAAAGATGGGGCGTTTGAAGACTTACCAATGGGCATCACTAGGAAAAAAGGCAGCCAGCAGAGGACGAAGCAGCCGACCACGATGCCCAGTGTTTTGGCCGCTTTCTTCTCCCGGGAAAATTTGAGGAGCCTCACGGAGAAGTGCGTCTTGTTCTTGGCGCTGGACACCCCGCTGCCTCCTACCGGGGCATTTTTCCGATGGATGCGGAGCGTCACCTGCTCCGAGTCCGACTTGTCAGTCTTGAGGCCGGACTTGAGGCCCCGGCTTTCCCTCTTGGCCACCACGTAGACCCGGCAGTACATGACCAGGATGATGGTCAGTGGCACGTAGAAGGAGCCCAGGGCCGAGAAGAGCACGTAGCCCGGCTCCTCGGTGATCTGGCAGATGGTCTCGTCTTCAGGGGCCGGCTGCCTCCAGCCAAACAGAGGCCCGATGGAGATGACGAGGGAGAGCGCCCAGACACAGAGCAGGGCCATGAGACCCCTCTTCTGGGTGACGATGGTGGGGTAGCGCAGCGGGTAGCTCACACCGATGTAGCGGTCGATGGAGATGATGCAGAGTCCCATGATGGACGCGGTGCAGCACAGGACGTCCACCGCCGCCCAGATATTGCAGAAAACCCTGCCAAAGGCCCAGTAGCCCAGGATCTCAAAGATGGCAGAGAAGGGCAGCACCGTGGAGGTGAGGAGGAGGTCGGCCACCGCCAGGTTGACGATGTAGTAGTGAGTGACCGAGTGCAGATGACGGTGGCAGGCCACGGAGAGGATCACTAGGATGTTGCCCAGCACACCGAAAATGATGAGGCCCCCCAAGATCACCCCGAGCAGAATGGCCTTGGATATGTTCACTGGTGCCTGCGGATGGGTGCAGTTGGAACTGTCGGAGGCATTCCCAGAGAGAAACACCATGGTCCCAGCCGGGGCCGGCGAGGTCCGGCTCTCGGGAGCCACCCCCGGGCGAGGGCGGAGGCGGGAGCGAGGGAGCAGAGTCAAAAGGTCTCGGCTCTGGGGAGTCTTGCCCGCTGGGGTTAGCTGGGGGTGAGAGAGGGCGTGTGGGTGGGAAGCAACCCCGGCCTGCCCTGGAAACCCTCAGAAGGCCACGCAAAAGGGCACGGCATTAAAGGCGACATGGCCAGGGACGCACACGCGGGGCTACCCGCGGACCCTATCCACCCGCGGCGCTGGCCTTCCGGCCCCAACTCCCTCCCTCCCCCAGGCTTGGCGCGAAGCTCGAGGAGACACGTTGCAAAATGCAATCCCAGAACTACAGGAGCCCGCTTCTCCGTACTGTCCGATCCGTCCTGCTTAGAAGATTGGGCATTCTGCGCGTAACTGGGAATTCAACAATTTAGCGCCAGCCTCCCCGCTACCCACAATCAAGTACCAGTGTGCCGTCGACTCTCAAAGGCGGGGACCGCCGGCATCTGGGCGCTTCTCCCGGCCCGCAGTTACCCACGGTGCGACCGGCGCGCGGTGGACTCGTGCTAGATCCAGCTTCTGCGCGCGCAGGCCGGGGGAAGTGGACGCGAAACGCTGGCCAAGACCGAGGCGGCTGCGGGGCGTCGTCGGCCCCGCGTTCCCCTGAAAGAGCGCAAAGAGAAAGGCGGGGTGTATACCGGGCGCCCTGGGGAGCGAGGCCGTACCGGGCCCGGCGGCTGGGAGCCCCGGCGACTCTGCGGTCCCGGAGCGGCGTGCCCTGCTGCAGCACGGGCGGCGCGGAAGGGGACCGCGAGCCGCTGGGAACCTGCCTTGGCGCGCGGCCCCGCGGCCTCTGGCCGGCTCCTGGAGCCGAAGCAAACAAACCCCGAGCCGCGGCCGCCAATTACGCGCGGCCGCACAGCGAGATTAAACCCCGCGAAGCTCGCTTAGGCGGGACTGCGGCTGGTGCGTACGTGTGTCGCGCCGAGCCTGGCCGGTGGAAACTGGAGGATCCACCCGGGTGCCGTTTAAACAGGTTGCTTCGCAGTCACCTGGAGGGGGCGGCCTGGGAGAGGGAACCGCTGCGACCCGGGGGCCGCGGCCAGCCTAGTGCCACGCGCACGCTCACGCCGGTGGAATTCACACTTGGGTGTGCGGTGCGCTCGGGTCTCTCGACCCGCGAAGCCGGCCCGAGGGCCAGGTCCCGAGAAAAAGCTGGCGGGGCCCGAGGGCTGAACGCGACCGAGGTCGGTCCAGGAGCCCTTTTCCAGCCGCAGGAGCAGCGGTGCCGGAGGACTTGAGCCTCCGGCCACACCCGGACGGGCTGCGGGGGTGCCGGGGGAGAAGTGGTGGAGAGGGCGAGCGCCACTCTGCAGAAGGGGCTTTGCAAGTGGCGGCCACTGCGGATGTGGTAGGCTTAAAAATCAGGAGGATGGGGGACGCTTCGCTTTGCGGGGCTGGGGGCCACGGTATTTGTGAGATACTTAGGTTTCCACGGGGACTGAGGCAGGAGTGCGAGGAGTGGGGACCCATCTTGCCTTCTGACGATTCTGGGGTCGGGCCCTGAGGCCGGACTCCCAGGCAAAGGCTATGGTGACAAGTTCAAGAGCTCACAGGTGGTCCTAAAAGCCAGCAACTGCAGAAAGCCTCTTTCCTCTACCTCGGGGCGACAAACACGGACCAAAAGACACACTTGTTAACTAGGAGGTAACTTTCCAGAATATACAAGGGAAACGGGGTGGGGTGGGGATGCAGGTGTCAGAGCGGGTGAAAGAAGCGGGGGGCGCACGGGCAAAGTGCGGGTTCCGTCTCAGCGGGAAGCGAGGGCGATTTGCCCTCATCCCCGCCCCTCTGGACGCCCGCGCCCCATGCCGCAGCGGACTCACCTGGAGCGGGGAGAGGACGGGGATTCAGTCCCAGGAGCAGCCCCGCCGCCTCCTCTCTGGGGAAAGAGGCGACCGTCCCTCCAAGGAACCAATTCTTAGTCCTTCTGCACCCGCTGACTCACCCCTCCTCTACAGATGTCTTTAAGCTCCCGGCTCACTATCGCTTTACCTGCAGAATTTACAATAAAGAGTGAAAATAGGAAAAGAAAAAAACCCGGCCAACCCATAACTCCACGTTCACCCTTTTAATTTTCAGCTCCCCGACATCAGCAAAGAACGGCAAGGAACTTTGCAGCTAGCTCTCGCTGACGTCACACAGGCAGTAGCCCCAGCGAGTACGGTAATCGGCTGTTTACCGTATTACTCTGCGGCAACAGGCAGAATGCGCACAACCGTATTTTCCCCCCTCCTGCTTGACTTGGGTGGATTGCGTTCTCGCTTTACTTTAAAAAGATGTTTGTGTGTGTGTGGTGTGGTGTATGTGTGTGTGTGTGTGTGTGTGTGTGTGTGTGTGTGTGTGTGTGCGCGCGCGCGCGCGCGTGTGTGTGAATTTTATTTACAGGAAATAACTTCTTTAAATGATACGATTTTAAAACTAAAGAAAAATTGACACCTGCCTGGTAGATATTACTGCGGATGTGGTGTGTTCACAGAAATGCCCCCAAAGTTACTTTTGAACAGCTTTATTCAATTAACACTTGGACTCGGTTCTGTTAAAATCAAGAAGAGCATATGTTGTTATGCCAAATACATGGGTAAATTATATTATTTGAAGGTGTTTCAAGATGAGAGTAAAATCAGATAACATTTAATGAATCTGATTGTAATAAAATTATGATTCCTGCAAGATGTAAAGGGAGCATATTTAAACTTTATGAAATATGATCCATTTCTCATTTCTCGGATCTTTCTCTCATCCGTCTCTCATCCATCTCAGATGGATTTTAAAAACATTATAGTCCCGCCGTAGTTTCTTACACAGTTCAGTGTTGGTAAAGTTCCACAAATTCTTTCCCAGCTTTTGTAAGAAAATGTATTTTTTAAAGGAAAGTTACTTCTGTTACTTCTGTCTAATTCTCTTTGATTCATTAATAGTTGGCGTATGAAAAGCTGACATCACCAGTTTTATTGATTTTTTTCTTCTGGTAAATTCCATGTTCTGTTTACCTTACAATTGAATAAACCCATATGTGTTTTTGGGATAATGGGAAAACACTCGAATTTTCTCCACTTTGATTCCCACCTCCTACATCATCCTCCTTCGTCTTTATTGATTTAGGAAACATATGCTGTTCTTAATGTATTTGCCAGGTACCCTTGAACCTAGTAACAAAGAGATAACTTTGACCAGGGGTAGGCGTTAGAACTCTCTTCCCTGAACAGAAGTCTGTTAATATTGTTTCTTTTTCGAAAGGAGATGTTTGGGAGGCTCTTTTATAGTTATATACCTCTAATGCCTTGGAGGAATGTCCATGGAAAGATCAAGAAGCACTACTTCATTAGGAAATATTATCTCATCCTCAGATACGTCTATCGTGTCTGTTCTTTAGCAATGCCATCCACCAGAGAGATATTTTATTGTTGAGTTTCATATTCATTAACCTTATACCATAAAGGCGAGTTCTCTGTTAAGATCTGTTCTGTGGTAGATAAGGGAAGTAGTGTTATCAGCAAGAAAAGCAACCAAAAATTGCTCAGCTTGGGGCGCCTGGGTGGCGCAGTCGGTTGAGCGTCCGACTTCAGCCAGGTCACGATCTCGCGGTCCGTGAGTTCGAGCCCCGCGTCGGGCTCTGGGCTGATGGCTCGGAGCCTGGAGCCTGTTTCCGATGCTGTGTCTCCCTCTCTCTCTGCCCCTCCCCCGTTCATGCTCTGTTTCTCTCTGTCCCAAAAATAAATAAAAAACGTTGAAAAAAAAAATTAAAAAAAAAAATTGCTCAGCTCTGCAAGGTTAGAATGTACAAAGGTCTTTGGAACTCCCAGTCCTCTAGCCCCCAACAAACAAGCAGAACACCCTTCCTTTCCCCCACCAGCTGACTAGCTGGAGCCAAGGCTGAGAAGAGCTGCTCTTTATTTCTAGCTTGGCCCCAGGTGGATCTTTCCAATCTGCTTCTCGGCCAGTGAACACCAGTTTTTGAGACACTGACTCTCAGAACCAATTATTTCCTCACTAACCATAGACCCACAAACAGGAAACTATCTATTGGTGGGTTACGCTTTTAAAAATGGTTGAGGTGGATGTCCCGGAAGGTGTTCGGTTAGACCCATGGGGAGGTGGGGCGAAGAAAGAGTAGGCTGTAGAGTCCTAAAGATGCTGTCCCTGCATTCCTGTAAGACCAGGGGCAAAACCCAGCTTTTCTGAGCCTCGGCTTCCTAATTTTTAAAGGGACACACACACCACACACACAAAAACCCCAAGACTGTTATTAGGACAGAGTGAAATTATATCTCATGAAGCTTATCCATCCTCCTGTTATTAATCTTATTAACTAAAAACTCTGCTCATTTTGTGCCCTACGTTAAAGTGAAACACACTTCTAACCCAGAGTGGTCCCAATCCCACATTTAACAAGAGCACTATGTATTCAGCTGGAGAAATCTGTGAAATGACCTGAAAATTACGCCCAAGCCCACTGCTGTAAGCAGAGTGACCCAACATGGCAAAGCAAAAGAATGGCCCCGTTCACTGGCTGCTCCTCCTTTCTTCTCACTTTCCCTTGTCCCACATCTTGAAGGACCATGAAAATATGTGCAAACACTTCCATCCATACATCCAGACAGCTCTACCTTGGCCTTTGGCAGTGGCCTATAATGTGGTCTGCCCTTGAGAAGATGGGCCCAGGAAAAAGGCCTAAGGCCCTAAAAGTGGTTGTGTAGCCATTTGGAGCAGAGGATTCTGGGTCCCAGAGCATGACCTAGAAAGAAGGGTGGAGGCTCTACTCAGGGATATTACCTCAATCCTGTAGTCTTATGGATTCTGGGATCTCTAAAGCCCAAAACCCAAGTTAGGAATCCTCTTGCCTGGACCTAAGAATGCTACTCTCTAGACTTTGGGTGTGATGGAAGCTGAGAAATTCATTGCAGGAGAGGTTCCAGGAAGCCTCTTGGGAGGATATTGCTTGATTTAGGGCTTGCAGAATAAGTAGAATTTAGATTGGTAGGCAAAAGTGAGAAAGGCAGATCAACAACAGGTGTAAAACAGAGGGGGGATGTGTGTCTATACATGTGTGCATGCGTGTGTGTGTGTGTGTGTGTGTGTGTGTGTGTTCAGGGACACTGGGGTCTAATTGCAGAAGATCTTGCAATCACCGTACACCCAATGACTTCGATTGGCAGGATTCTGTTAGTGACTAGTGAGACAGTCAGCAAATATAGGAAGCTTCAAGAAAAAAAAAATCTGTCAATCATTATCTTAGAAGACAATACACAATGGAATTAGGAGCCCTTTTCCTAGGCTTATGATTCCAAGTGACAGAGTAGAGGGCTTAATGTTAATATCTACCTAAAAGACCTGGCTTTTCAACTAATTCACGTAAGGCTTAAAAAGTTAAAGTGGAAGGAAAATGAAAAACATTGCTCAGAATGATATTGATGCAGGTATCAAGTCACACTTCTCTAAACAGGCCTTGTGTTCTAATCCTTTATCGAACTGAGAAAACCACCCAGTGCACAGACACTACTGATGGAAGCCTCGGAAGGGATAATAATTCTGCCCTTGTCATCATTTGTCCTGCTTATTCTCGTTGCCCTTGAGAAAACAACTTGTTCCAAGCCTCTTATGAGTCATGGAGCCCATCCCTACATTGTAGATTATGGTGGGAATATGGGGTCAAGACAGCCTATAGCTAAATCAGGTAAATTATTTCTGTAAAGCAATAAATCTTTGCTCTTGTATAGCAAATGTGAGTTGAGTCATATCGATCAAATTTGTCAATATCATCTAAAAGGGAAGGGAAACACCAAAAATCAATATCTGTACCAAATGTAGAAATGCTTTATGTCATTTCTCCACCTACTGATGATGTCTATGGGGACATTAAAATGCTTATTGGCCTGTATTTCATTATAAAATACATGATTTTAACAGCATATTTTGAAAAGTTGGAAATAAAAATAAGACATAATCTATAATTCTGCCATTGCAGAAATAACCACTGTGCAATATTTGATACATTTTTGTCATGTGTGCAAATGATATACATACATATCTGAAATATATTATATACATGTATTTATGATATGTGTGTATATATATATGTATTATGTATAATACTGTGATCATATTGTGCCTCTAGTTACATATCCTGCTTTTTCATTTAATGTTATTTCTGAACGCTTATTCATATTAATGAATTTTTACAAAAATATGATTTGTAACAGCTGCATAGAAATTCCATTACATATATATGTCCTGATAAATTTGACTATTTGGATATTTAGGTTTTCCAAAAAATGTCCTATTTATAGCTTGTACTGTGATAAATGCTCAGGTATAATGTTTTTTTGTGTTTTGTTTTAAAAATTTTTTTAATGTTTATTTTTGAGAAAAAGACAGAGTGTGAGCCAGGAAGATGCAGAGAGAGAGGGAGACACAGAATCCGAAGCAGGCTCCGGGCTCCAAGCCGTCAGCACAGAGCCCAATGCAGGGCTCGAACCCACCAACCGCGAGGTCATGACCTGAGCCTAAGTCAGCCACCCAGATGCTCCGTACTCTAATTTTTCTTTAGATTAACTTCTATAACTGAAATTAGAGGATCAAAAATTAAGAAAATTTGAGAAATTATACTTTGTCCTCTAGAAAGGTTTTACAAATGTACATACAAAATGTAAACTCGTAAGAGTGGGATATGATAGAAACTTTCTTTGTGGTGGTGGTAGTTGATTTTTTTGCTTCTTGCCAATCTTGAGTGTTTCATAATAAAATACACAAGTACATAAATATCTGTAAATTAAACAAACTTTAGCCAGTGTGATAAGTAAGAAATCTCTCATTAAACATTTTTATTCTTGGGACACCTGGCTGGCTCGTTTGGTAGAGCATGCAACTCTTGATCTCAGGGTTGTGAGTTTGAGCCCCACGCTGGGTATAGAGATTGCTTAAAAATAAAATCTTAAAAAAAATACTTTTTAATTATGAGCATATTTTCATACACTTACTTGACACGTGCATTTACTATGTTGTGATTTGCTTGGCTTCTATCAGTCAGGATTTAGTCGGAAACCGCTGTAGATATTTCAAGCGGGAAGTGACTTAACACACGGAATCAGAGGCTTGTAAGACAAATAGAAAAGCTTGGGAAACAGGTCAGGGAAAACCGCTATTTGCTTTCAAGAAATCTGGAAGTATAGGAAGAT